CTTTCTTCAGCTCTTTTTATTGCTTCAAGAACTCTCTGAAGGGCTGGTTTTGTGGACATTAATTCTTTCAGCCTATTTATGTCACGGAAGGTTTGTCTTTTCCCTTTGACTATAATAGACATTTTGACTGGGTATAGTAATCTGGGTTGGCATCTGTGGTCATTTAAAACTGGGAATACTTTGGTCCAGGCTCTTCTGGCTTTCATAGTTTGAATTGAAAAGTCAGCTGTAATTCTAATGGGTTTTCCGTTATATGTGACTTGTTGTTTCTCTTTTGCAGCTTTCAGAATTTTCTCTTTGTTTTGTGCGTGTAGTGTTTTTACTACGATGTGCCGTGGAGAGTTTCTGTTCTGATCCTGTCTGTTTGGTGTTCTGTATGCTTCTTGTATTTGTATGGGCATGTCTTTCTTTAAGTTTGGGAAATTTTCTTCCACCTTTATCTTCCAGTCTTGATACTCTGTTTTCCATTTCATTCATCCTATTGATGAGGCTTTCTCCTGTCGTTTCTAGTTGGCTTACTGAGTGTTTCACTTCTTTCTTCATTTCAGCCTGAGTATTCTTAAATATTTCTCTTTTCTGAATTCATTCAGAAGTTTTTCCCTATCTTCCTTCAGTTCTTTGATTTTTTTGTCTGTTCTTTAAAAATGTTTTATTTATTATTTTTATTTTATGTGTATGAGTGTTATGTGTGCATGTAGGTAAGTGCACCCATGACATGCAATGCCTGTGGAGGACAGAAGAGGCTGTTTTATCCCCTGGAACTGACATTACGGACAGTTATTAGCTGCTATGTGGGTGCTGCAATTTGAACCTGGGTCTTCTGCAAGAACATCCAGTGTTCTTAACTGCTGAGCCATCTCTCCAGCCCCTGTTTGTGTGTTCTTTAAATTCACTGACTTCTTTTGTCATGTTTATAATTGTTCTTTTGAGTTTCATGTCCTGTGTTATCTCTAGGGGCTTCTCATCATACTCCTCTAGAGGACTATTGGTACTTGTTGGGGATATATTATTTTGGTCTTTCATGTTGTTAATTTTTCTCTGTGACTTTGACATGTGAATTTATTTTGTAGTTTCTGATTCTTGTGTGAGACTCAAGCCTTCCTTTGCTGAGTTTAGGGCTGCTTCTTTTTGTAAACTTTATGTGCCTTTGTGGTTTACTTGTTGGGCATGAAAACCTGGTTGGTGTATGCTACAGGTTCTCTTTTGATTTTATATTGGAGTGGCCAAATTGCTTTCATCTTCAGGAGTTCCCACAGAGGCCCAAGTCAGATGAGGATGAGATACTCTCAGGCTTTCTCCTAAGGTCTGGATCCCTCCAGAAAAGATGCTGCCCTCAGGAATTTGGGAGATGGTCTGGCCTGGGAGCAGGGCCCAGGAAAGATGCTGGTCTCAGGAAGCTGGTGGCTGTGCCACCCAGGAATGCAAAGGGAGGTGGGAACAGGAAGAGGCCCCATGGGCTCCTGGGGACTACTGGGAAGAACTGGGTTGGTCTGGATGCAAAGGATGAGGAAGCAGTGGGATTCTGGACCAAGAGGTCAGTCTAAGTGTCTGGGGTGCCAAGACAAGAAATGGGCCAGTACCCAGGCTAGGAGGGGAGCTGGGAGGGTGAATAAATCTGAGGGGAGTCAAGGTGTGGTGGGCGCCACTGGACTTACCAAGGAAAGTTGCTGGAACCAGGACGCCGGAGGCTGTGCAGCCCAGGAGGAAGCTGTGCAGGCCAGGGAAGGAAAGGGAGGTGAAGTTGGGACCAGCCCCAGAGGGCTCCTGGGGACTGCAGGGAGGGGTTGGGTTGGTCTGGATGCAAAGGATAAGGAAGCAGTGGGGATGCTGGGTGAAGAGGTCAGTCCAAGGGTCTGGGGTGCCAAGACAAGAAATGGGCCAGTACCCAGGCTAGGAGGAGAGACAGAGCAGGGGAGCTAGGAGGGTGAAAGAGGCTGGGGGAGTCAAGGTGTGGTGGGCTCCTCTGGACTTACCCAGGGAAAATGCTGGCACCAGGACACCGGAGGCTGTGCAGCCCAGGGAAGCAAAGCCCATCATACAGCTTTTTAAAAGAAGTTATTATTTTCATTTTATGTCTATCAGTGTATTGCCTGCACGTGTGTTAAGTGCATCCATGTCTTGCAGTGTCCACGGAAGTCAGAAGAGGGCATGAGATTCCCCTGGATGGAGTTGCAGAAGGTTGTTAGCTACCATGTGCTGGGTATTGTACCTGGATCCTCTGCAAGAGTAGCCAGTGCTTTTAACCACTGAGTCATCTCTCCAGCCCCAATCATCACACAGGTTTTAACAGAAGCTCTAAGTTGCATTAATTATTCCCCAAGCGATGAGAGCCTGATGGTAATTCAGATGGGCACCTCTGAAAAGATCTGTCTGCTTCCTGTGTTGTTTTAGCCAGACTGTTTTGAAAATTTTGGGGAAAAAACAGAACTGAGATTGTATTTCAGCTTTTAGAATACTAACCAGAAAAAAGAAGAATCCCAGCATGACACCTAAAATATCTTCCCAGATGATGTCATTGACCAAATGCTCACTGTGACTCCTTGGAGTAGGTAAATGTTCCTTAAAGGGCCTCCAAACCAAAAACAAACAAACAAATAAACAAAAAACAAACAAAACAAAAAACAAAATACAAAAAACAACGCCCCCCCACCAAAAGAAACATTGCTGAACCCAGGAGCCTGTTCCTGTGCAGGGGCAGACCTACAAAAACAAATGTTAAAAAATAAAGAACTTAAGGTCTGGGGCCAGAGAATGTCTCATCAGTGAGAAGCTAGGGTGTGGCTCAGTGGTAGAGCACCTGCCTAGAATCCTCCAGTGAGGGGCTGGGGTGTGGCTCAGTGGTACAGCCGCTGCCTAGAATCCCCCAGTGAGGGGCTGGGGTGTGGCTCCATGGTAGAGCTCTTGCCTAATGCATGCCTGGGTATGTGCCTTAATGGGAAGTGTGGTAGGCTGGGGGTCAGGGGAGTGGGAAGATATGAACAATATCTATTCATCCCAGATAGTGAACCAACAACAGACCAAAGTAAGGATCAGGTAGAAAACTAAAATAGGGTAGAAAAGCAAACATAAAAGCCTTATTTTGAGACAAGCCCTTCCCTTTACTTTTGCTCCTGCAAACATGCTTCTGCTTGAGAGCCCCTCTCATTGTCTTCAATTATGTAGACTAAGATTTTTAAATTTATTTGTTTTATGTGTATGAGCATTTTGCCTGCATGTATGTAAGTGCACCACATGTCTGCAATGCCTGTAGAGGTTAGAAGAAGGCATTGGATCCCCTAGAACTGGCATTACAGATTGTTGTTAGCTGCCATGTGGGTGTTGGAAACCAAAGTGGAGTCCTCTGCAAGAGCAGCCAGTGCTCTTAACCCCTGAGTCCCCTCTCCAGCCCCAACCCGAGTCCAGCCCCTAGACTAAGATTTTTTTTTTGTAAATTTTTTATTGAATTTTTGTGTATTTCATACAGAACATCTTAATCATCTTTATATTAAGAATTTTTTACCCATCAATTACAGATCTGGTCTGAAACAATGCTGGGTTGCTTATAAATATTTTAAGCAAATAAAGATTAATGCTCAGGCTTTGGAGATTACTTCCCTGTGTCCCCACTGGCACATATGAAGAATTCTCGAATCTCCACTCTGTCCTTGGTACTTGTCTTTTGCTTGTTGAGTCCCTGTAACAAGGATACCATCAAAATCCAACATAGTGATCTGAAGAGTTTCATTGGGGTTACTTACAGGAATATGCACGAGAAGTTACTTGTAGGGGCAGAAATGACTCAAAGACAGCTGAATCATTAAAAGTCCACCTCAGCATGGGCGACAGCTCACAGAAGCTGGAAACCTAGAACCACTTTTGGACAGTATCCTTTCCAGGCAGCTCAGTTAGTTTGAGCCTCTCTCAGGTACTTTGGTTGTTCTCTGTCTCTTCTGGGTCTCTGTCTCTTCAGCTTGTTAGAATGTCTCTCAAGGGTCCTTAGGGCTTATATATGATCGGAAAGGGAGCAGTCTAGTGAACCGAATCAATTTCAGTGACGTACGTGTGTGTGTGTGTGTGTGTGTGTGTGTGTGTGTGTGTGTGTGCATCTACATGGAACCAGAGGTTTATGTCAGAATGTCTTCCCCAGACATATCTCCATCTTGTTTTTGACACAGGGTCTCCCACTGAGCCTGCAGCTCCTTGTTGCGGCTAAGCTGGCTGGCCAGGGAGCTCCAAGGATCCACTTGTCTCTGCCCCACCCGGTGCCGAGGTTACAGGCATGTGCTGTTATGCCTGGCTTTTTACGTGAGTACTGGGGATGTGAACTCAGGTCCTCATGTTTGTGCAGCACGTACTTTATCCATTGAGCCATTTTCCTAGCCCCATGGAAAATTCTTTATAAGCACTGGTGGAAAAAGCAACTTACTGCGTTCTATCTTAGTTTTTTTGTTGTTGTTGTCTTTTTGAGACAGGGTCTCCCTGTAGCTGGCCTGGAACTTGCTATGTAGAGCAGGCTGACCTTGATCTCTCAGAGACCTGCCTCTCAAATTCCCAATTGCTTTTTCTTCTCTTTTAGTATTGACCTTTCCTTCTACAAACGATTCTGCCTTTTTTACCTGTACAATTTGTAATATTTCTACAAAGAAACACTTCTCCCTCCTACTCAGCTAACTACAACCCCAGGCACAGAGCTTATGTACAAGGCAGTATAAATTTTATTTCTCTCCCTCTCCCCCCTCCCTCTATCTTAGTTCTGGCCTGGAGACTCCAGAAATGACTGTAACCAGTAAGCAGATTTGCCTGTTCCCCTCCTGCCCCTGCTAGAAAGAAGAGTGCTGTGTCCAATCATCACCAGAGGAAGGTGATTCATCTAGAGACAACAACCAATCTCTTCACATTTGACCACCAGCGTTAGCTTTACATCCTGTCTCAGGACCCTGATTAGGCCTGCCTGCTGTTCTTTGTGTCTTAGAACCTGTTGGTCTGATCATCACCTTCTTGCCTTCTGTGTTCTGGCTCCTCTAGGTCCAGGTCAGCATCACCAATATGGCAGGAAGAACAGAAACAGCCAGAGTGGCAGCAGTGTTGGTGGTACCATCAGTGTTCTTGGCTTGATGTCCTGGAGGACATGAAAAGAGTAGGTAATTGCGGACACTTTCTGATCATGCCCAAACCCTTAATGTCCACAGTTCTCCCACTTCCTCACCAAAGACAGCAGATACCGTGGTGCTGTGGCTGCCGTGTTGCATGTGACAGGAGAACCAGGGCTCCTCTCCAGGAAGGATCCACATGGACACCCAGGTCTGGTAGGTCCCATCCCCATTGGGCAGAATAGTCCCAGGTCCAAAGGTGCGCTGCTGCACGGGCTTCCCATCCCGAAGCCAGATCAGGGTGGTGATGGGGGGATATAAATTAAAAGCCTGGCATGTCAGGGTGATCCTGCCCACTGGGTAGTTCCTGCGTGTCACAATTGGTAGGGGACCTGGGAAAAGATGAGGCAGAGTGGGTGAGGCTGAGGACTCCTCCCTCCCTGCATGGTGGGACCCTGGTCAGAAACTAACTGGTGGTTAGGCTGGCAATTGGCTCTGGGAGGTACAGACCAACAGGTTCCCAAACTAGGACCCAAAGAACAGCAGTTGTTCCAAAGACCCCTAATCAGGGTCCTGAAACAGGATGTAAAGATAACGCTGGGGGTTAACTGTGAAGAGAAGTGGTTGTTGACTCTAGATGAATCAGCATAGTAGCCCCCCAAAAGGGTGTAAAGAACCACTGGTGGGGTTCCTCTGCCAACTAAGTCAACTCAAGTCAACTTCAGGGCCCTTCCTGTAGGGGACCATGTGCAGACTGTTTTTACCCTTTACCCCAATGAACTTTTCAACTTCAGGGGTACTGAAACCCTGAAACATATTCACGCATCTCATACTATTATCCATAATCAACTGAATTCTGGGTGAAATGAACTTCCAAGAAAATCATGCCACTTTCATCTACACCAGGTGCTGGAATGTGGATTCACCACTCTCTGGAAGTAGAGACTTCATGTCCTCTCCAGGTCAGTACCTGTATCCTCCAGATGGTCCTTCAAGGAATTCAGGTATCCCCAGAGTCTAGCAGGACATCCATTATTCAAGAAATTCTTCACTTGATCAACTGTGGGGCCATATGTCTCCAAGAATGCCTCAGGTAGCTTCTCTGAGGTCTCGGTCTCTTTCCACCTGAGGGTCTCCAGATCAAAGGTGAGGAAATCTTGCCCATCATAGCCCAAGCGCCAGAAACCTCCAGTGTTGGTACCTTGGAGCTCACAACCTAGTGTGGCCTGGAGGGAGTGAAGGCCTGTGTACCCAAAGCAGGGACCTGTCACTTTGCTGTCCCCAGACTTTGGCTTGTACTGGCACTTAAGGTCAATGGATCACATACTTTGATCAGCCTAGTGTGGGGTTGCTGCGCCTCTCAGGGAAGCATCGCTGCTTTGTTCAACCCAGCCTGCCTGTGCCCAGCACCCCACCCTAGACTCAGGGACCAGCATTGGACCTGTACGCTCCTAGTTCTGAACACTCACCCCTGTCCTGGCCCTTCTGGCCCATGAGCTCTGCCAGCATCCTCCTGAGCTGTTGCTCCTTCTCCTGCAGGTCTTCAGTCTCTCTTGCCCAGGGTTCAGCTCCCATGTATCTCTTCATCCTGAGCCCCAAGGGCTCTGCCCTTCTGTTGTCCCCATCATAGCGGAGGAAGAGCTCATCATCAAGGTATCCCAGGGCTAGGAACTGGGCCTGCCCAGACCCCTCTTGAGACAAGGCCATGAGGTCATAGCGCAGAGTGTGGGTTCCTGGGGGGAGGAGGAGAGACAGGTGATATGCATGTCAGGATCATGGAGTCTACAGTCAGCCCTGCCTAATTGAAATCAGACTGCTCCCCCTGCTTTGTTTCAGATGTGAGTATGAGAGAGAGAGAGAGAGAGAGAGAGAGAGAGAGAGAGAGAGAGAGAGAGAGAAACTGAGATTGAAGGAAGAAGAGAGGGCACAGGTGCATTTAGACAGAGACAGACACAGAAATGACAGGAAGATCCCCAGCTGCACAAACTGGATCTCAGTGGAACTGTGGCCCCTTTGCTGACCCAGCTCCATCCTGACTGACACAAGTGATTTGTTCCTGTCCTGAGTGCTGAACACAAAAAATGAGTAGACACCCTGGAGGACATTATGAGGATAGAGGACACAGTGTATGTGTTTAATGCAATGTCCAGAATTCAATGAAAATATTTAGATGTACAAAGAGGGAGAGATCTATGACTGATGATCTAGAAGGTTCTGTCAGCCAACCTTCCATTACTTAAACACAACACCTAAGATCATCAACAATAATTAGAATAGAGATTCTGGGGCTTGTAAGGCAGCTTAGCAGGTAAAGGTACTTGCTGTTTAAGTCTGATGACCTGAGTTCAATCCTCAGAACCTGTATAAAGATGGAGGAAGAGACCCCATTCCACGAAGTTGTTCTCTGACATGTGTGCTGTGGCATATGCACTCCCTTCCCTCACAATAATGAATAAAATAAAAATTAAAAGAAACAGGGCCTGGAGAGATGGCTCAGTGGTTAAGAACACTGGATGTTATTGCAGAAGACCTGGGTTCAAATCCCAGCACCCACATGGCAGCTAACAACTGTCCATAACTCTAGTCACAGGGGATCTGACAGCCTCTTCTGACCTCTGTGGGCATCAAACTACATAGGTGCACTTACCTACATGCAGGCAACACATACATACATGCAAAAAATAAATAAATAAATAAAAAAATAAAAGAATACATTTGAACCATTTCCATCTACTGCCATTGGCCCGTTTCTTCTGTTCTCTTGGTAAAGCAGACATCATGGTGAAAGCACAGGGCAGAGAAAGCTGCTCACCTCATGTCAGCCAGGAAGTGAGAGGGAGAGGAAGAGGAGGGGCTAGTGTAATAGCCCAAGCTCTTCCATTTTGTGTAAGTTTAACTGGTCAAGACTATAAAATCTAGTCTTTTGAAAGATCCACCCTTCCAGTTTTACTGGTCAATCATCTTGTCATAGGACCACCCCTAGGAAGGCGGGTTCACCTTCTTATGCTAAATAGATGGGCAGAATGCCTGGTGCATTAATGACATAGTGAACTTTTCCTGCCTGGAATCCTGCCTCCCACTGCAGAACTTCTGGACCAGCCACAGTCATATAGTCTGTGAATCTTCCCGCTTTTCTGAAGCATAATCTTGTCTTTCCTTCTTCATAGCCCTTTTCTAAACATGCTTTCTTTAAGGCTTTGGGCTGCCCCTAGCATCTTGCATTTCTTTACTTTCTCTAAAGCTTCCTTCTCCCAGCCATCTGGCTGCCAGTCAGCCACGTGTCTGACCTCCATGCAGGCTGTAAACTGGCATGGCTCCATGGCTTTCTTCCCTTCTCCCCTCCATTCTCCTCCTCAAGGCAGCTGCCCAGATTACCAGCTTCTTGCCCTGCTGAGGACTTTTCTTTAAAATTCTAAAAATATTGTAAAGGCTTATGTCTTGTGTCAAGGACTTTATCTTTTGGACTTTACCTTTAAAAGCTCCCATCTCCTCCCAGTTAGGGTGGCACTCAATAAATTGGCTCAGAGAGAGTGCTGTTCCTGGCCAGCTACCTAGATTTGGCTGATTTGGAACTTTTTGAGTCTGTGAGGTCTTTCCTGGTGGTCCCGAACTCAGTAGGACAAAGTTCACCTTTGGGGCATGCCTCCAATGACCTAACTTCCTCTCCTAAGCATCACATGCTAAGTTCTCCAGTGATTTCCAATACTGCCTCCCACTGAGGAGTCAAGTTTTCAACATATGGGCCTTAGGATAACATTTATCTAAAACCATAAAAAATAAATAAGAAAATCCTAGAAAATTGGAGCAGATTCTGGTATTAGAAAAGTAAGCTGTCCTGCTTCCCTGGGCTGCACAAACCACCAGCCTCTCTCCTGGGTAAGTCCATCAGTGCCCACCTCGCCTTGACTTCCCCAGCCTCATTCACCCTCTCACCTCCCCTGCCAGTCTCTCCTCTTAGTCTGGGTACTGTCCCATTCCTTGTCTTGGCGCCCCAAACACTGGGGCTGACCTCTCCGCCTGGAACCACCACTGCTTGCTGATCCTTTGTATCCAGACCAACCCATTTCCTTCTCATGGTCCCCAGGAGCCCTCTAAGCCTGGTCCTGCCCCCCACCTCCCTCTGCTTCCCTGGGCCTGCACAGCCCTCCAGCCTCTCTCCTGGACACAGGGCTGACCTCTCGCTGGGAACCACCACTGCTTCCTGATCCTTTGCGTCCAGATGAACCCAGTTCTTTCTCATGGTCCCCAGGAGCCCTCTGGCCCTGGTCCCGCCCTCACTGCCCTCTGCTTCCCTGGGCTGCAAAACCTGCCCACCTCTTTCCTGGACACAGGTGCTGACCTCTCGGCCCCGAACCACCCCCACTTCCTGTTTCTTTGCATTCAGACCAACGCAGTTCCTTCTCAGGGTCCCCAGGAGCCCCCTGGGCCTGGTCCCACCCTCACCTCTCTCTACTTTTCTGGGCTGCACAACCCGCCATCCTCTTTCCTGGGTAAGCCCATCAGTGCCCACCGTGCCTTGACTCCCCCAGCCTCATTCACCCTCCAAGCTCCCCTGCCCTGTCTCTCCTCCTAGCCTGGGTACTGGGCCATTTCTTGTCTTGGCATCCCAGACACCAGGCTGACCTCTCTGCTTGGAGCCACCACTGCTTCCTGATCCTTTGCATCCAGACCAACCCAGTTCCTCCCTGCAGTCCCCAGGAGCCTGGTCCTGCACCCATCTCCCTTTGCATCCCTGGGTGGCACAGCTACCAGCTGCCCTAGACCAACATCTTTCCTGGGCCTTGCTCCCAGGCCAGTCCAACCCCCAAATTCCTGAGG